CCACCCACTCCCTCAGCCCCCACCCGGCTTCTACTAGCAACTAGAGGGAGTGCCTGCCGGCAGTGCGGCCTATTGGACTCCGGCTGCGGAGGACTCTCAGGTTGATTAGACTTCTAAATGCCTAAATATTTCTTCTGTATGCTACGTCAATACTGGCATGATCTTGTGCAAAAATTCTTCTAGAAGAGGGCGTCTACACTGGCATGTACCTTTGTGCAAGAGATGTGTTTTTGCGCATCTATGCCAGTGTAGACTGCCGGCAGTGCGGCCTATTGGACTCCGGCTGCGGAGGACTCTCAGGTTGATTAGACTTCTAAATGCCTAAATATTTCTTCTGTATGCTACGTCAATACTGGCATGATCTTGTGCAAAAATTCTTCTAGAAGAGGGCGTCTACACTGGCATGTACCTTTGTGCAAGAGATGTGTTTTTGCGCATCTATGCCAGTGTAGACTCTCTCTTGTGCAAGAAAGCTCTGATAGCCATTTTAACCATAGGGCTTTCTTGTGCAAGAAATTCACGTTGCCTGTCTACACTGGCCTCTTGCGCAAGAACAGTTGTGCAAGAGGGCTTATTCCTGAGCGGGATCATCAGAGTTCTTGCTCAAGAAGCACTGATTTCATACATTAGAATGTCAGTGTACTTGCACAAGAACTCGCGGCCAGTGTAGACAGGCAGCAAGTTTTGGCGCAAAAGCGACTGCTTTTGCACAAGATCACACCAATGTAGACACAGCCTATTTTTTTCTACTTGGGAAATCTTTGAGTGCCTATGTGAGGACACACAATATAGAAAACATACAGGAAAACTCCACAAGCAATGAAGAAAATAGAGGAAGAAATTTAGATCTATATCAAAAATTAAAGTTTGGAGATAAAAATTCAGAATATCTACATAATTTAATTTAATGGGAAAGCAAAGAGCTGAACTATATAAGACATGGACAGAATTTTCTCCTCTCATGTGCACTCCCCCAAAGGAATACAGGGAAAGCAGTTCTATTTTACTATCTTGTCATTATTCAGAGACCTGAGAGAAAGGACGCTATAGTATGTTAAGTTATCACTGCTATCCTTTTAACCTTTATAACCAATACTTCTAGCAAGCTCAATGCAGCCCTTGCCTAGGTAAAAGAAGAACTGATGATTTTCTTTATAACTGTCTCCTTTTATTTCCTCCAGTTTCTCTCTCTTCATTGTTCCTTTCAAGGAAATAGTATTCAGTTTAAGTGCAACTGTAAAATAGATGTGACTGATAATATTGTGTGAATTGTTGACTGTGTGTTTCTGGTGATGAGAAAAGCTCTATCTGTGGGGGAGGAAGAGCAAATAGGTGGAGTCCATCAAACCAGAAGTACAAAAGTCACATAAAGCAGTTGTCTGAGAGATTTGAGTCCCTATCCCAAGAGCTTTTCCAACCTGTGAGCAGGTATCAGTGCTGGCATAAAGTGAGTTTTCTGACCTGGGGACTACAAGACATAGTGACCCTCTGTTATACATGAGTTTGGGAAACATTCTTTCACATAAAACTACACTTTGCGAACACCAATCTGCATATTTGTATAACTGTTCAAATTAAATGATTTCTACATGTCAATTATGTTTCACTTCACGCTAAATGAGCATGCCTGAACCGAGCTAGGCTACAATTTATCAAATTTGCAATGGATTAGTTTAAAAGATATTTAAAGAGACGACAAAGCAAAAAGCATAAATGAGTTTGCAACAGATAGTAACCATTTTTAGAAGGCCTCTGAAATGATATGCACATGCAAATAAGATGGCTGCATACCTGAATTGCACACTCAAAACGAGGTTTTGTACATGTAATAGAAACACAAATTTTGTAAATATATAAGAGAATCACTGCACATTTTGTCTCTAATCCTAATCTATGGAAGCAGGAATCTGAGTAGTATTATGAGGAAGCAGTATTAAAATAAACCAAAGGTGTATATTTTTTTTGGCCCAGTGGTCTTTTCCTTCCTAACATTTATTATATTAACAAAGATTTAACTTTTATAAATCTATGTAAATCAAGAATTTGGCACAAGTAACTTGAAAATCCTACAATAAAGTGCTCAGTTTTGTTATAATTTCAGTTGATGCAGTAGTTTAAAATCATGGTTAATTTGACAAGCAGGATCTGGTTACTTTTGGAGAAATTATAGATTTCAAGGAATTCAGAAAATGTAACATTATTCCTTGCTACTGCGTGTTAACCATCCAAAATGTTTTTCACACTCCCACATGATGAGCTTACCCAAGGATCACAGGAATTCAATGCATTTTTAAATCTGTTAATGCAGCTGTTCTGTAAGGACTGCACTCCAATTATTTCTGTACTTGCAGACCAAAGGAAGAGAGCGATAGCCGTTAGCATGCTTACTTCATCAAGAATAGGCTTAGAGCCTTCTGCAAAACAAAAAGAAAAGCAGACTGAGCTTATTGTGAAAAGGTTTTAGATTTGTTTAGTAAATCTTAGTGTACTGGAATAATCCACAACAAAGGGATGTATTTGAAGAGACTTCAGTTACACATAAACACATGACTATTCACCAAAACCAGAGTGACATTTTTACTATTAGAGGTAGTGATTGATCTAGTTAAGGTTGCTTAAGATGGCTAACTCTAATCTAATCCTCTCTTTTAAACGGTTTAAAACTTCCTAATATTTCCATCTATGAAGCCAAAATCTCTGACCAAAGGTATATTTTTCTTTTTTTAAAAACAATGTAAGCAAATATGACTGCTATTTTGAGCAGAAGGATGGTGGGGAAAACATTATACTGTCCCCATTACAAGCAGGTCTCTTGCAAGCCCTTTAAAAAAAGTCTCAGCAACTGAAATGACTGAGATGTAGAAACCTAAAATCTACTGTCGGAACAGCCTGAACACCAAGAAGAACGGTTCTTGAATGTTCTGCTAAAAATTTGTTGTGATTTCACTGTGTTAATAAGCTTGTTAAAATCACATAGTCCATTTTGCACCATTTTTTTTTCTTGGACTGGTGAAATGTGCAACTTCATTCTGTCTTGAAAAGTGAACTAAACACATGCAAACCCTTTCCTTAGTGCATGCATCTTGCAAGGATTAAGAATTAAATGAAAGCTCCTAAAGTCCACAGAATGTCTATAGTAAAAGTCAGTTGTGCTTGCAAAAATGGGGGCTTGAAGGCCCTTGAGCCAAGGTGATATTGGTAGGGACAAGTTTGATGAGACATGTAACTATGGAGGCCATTAGAAATTAATACAGATTTTGCTTGGAAAACTTCATCCAACAATTGTTTCCTCTCAAACATCCTAAAGGATGACATTGTGTAAATTATTCTCTCGTCCCTTCAGATTTCACATGGCTTCTGCCAAACTGTTTCCCCCCCTCTCCTATTCAATCTATATTCCAGGCTATTAAAAGGGGCATTGAAATGGTTTTGGCTAATATACTCTGAATAGGCACATGACACATACCTCTGGCTGTGTCTACACTACATTCCTCTTTCGAAAGAGGAATGTAAATGAAGCAAATAGAAAGTTCAAATGAAGCGCGGATTTAAATATCTCGTATTTCATTTGCATATTCGCATCCGAGTACAGGTTCTTTCGAAAAAGGGTTTTTTTCCCCCCCGAAAGAACCCCATGTAGACTGCGCTTTCACTTTTGAAAAACCTTTTTTCGAAAAACTGCTCAGATGCAAATATGCAAATGAAGCACGGGATATTTAAATCCGCGCTTCATTTGCACTTTCAATTTGCTTCATTTACATTCCTCTTTCGGAAGAGGAATGTAGTTTAGACATACCCTCTGGGTCTGACTCAAAAGAAAGGCAACATAAATGGTACCGCCTCTTTGCTCTTCTAGAGCACAGAAGGAGCTTGGATCATAGGAAGCTGGTTGAAGCTCAGTGCAGATGAGATGGAAATACGGGCTGGCAGGCCAGGGGAAGCATCTAGGGGTTGTGGCAGGAGTGTGGCTTGTTTAATTATTGAAAGGATCACTCAGTCCTTTGATAAGGAGACTTACAATTTGGAGAAGTTTCTGGATTCTCACTTCTCTCTGATTCCCTTTTACCTCTCTGTATTATGCTAGACTATAATGTGACCAATTCTCTGATGTTGCCATAGTCATCAATGCCTGTACTTCCTTCTCATTGAATTACTGTAACATTCACTATAATGAAGACTACATGAAGCCTATTATACTGATTCTCTTAAAGCACCGGTAGCTTCCAGTTTTCTTTAACTACAGTTGTACATATGGAGTCTGATCTATTGCATTTAGCTTGATTACAATTATGGCTCTTCTGGTCTGAGACATTGGCTCTCTCCATATGCACCATTTTGGCAGTTGAGATTTGATTCTTTCTGGGTATTTGGGGTGAAAGGAAAAGAGTGGTATAATCAAAGATGACACCTAGTTTATGAGCTTGGGTGACATGGACGAGGATGGACTGTCAACAATGACAGAAAGTGAGGAAGGGACTGGGAAAGCGGACATAAGAGCTTGACTGGTTGTAAGACATCCAGGAGTTTTCAGAGAGATGGGCTGAAATGCAGGATTGGCAGGAGAGAGACAGGTCAGGATTGGAAAAGCATATTTGTAAGTCAAAGGTACAAACATGGCAGTTAAACTTGTGAGAGTTGAAGAGGTCACCTAAAGAAACAGAAAGTAAGCATGCCAAGTCCTGTAAAACACCTATGGAAACAGGAGAGAGGTGGAAGGACTGCAGAAAATGACACTGAGGAAATGACTGGAGCAGTAAAAGAAAACTGATTTGTTAAAGCCAAGTAAACATAAGATTTCAAGAAAGAGTATGACCAATATTGCCAAAGGCAGTTGAGAGGTCAAGAAGGATGAAGATGGAGTGCACAGCCCAGAGATAATGTTGTAATATTCTAAAATTAGCATTATAATCAGCATTATGTATATAATATACACTATACAGGCAGTCCCCGGGTTACGTACAAGATAGGGACTGTAGGTTTGTTCTTAAGTTGAATCTGTAAGTAAGTCGGAACTGGCGTCAGCCGCTGCTGAAACTGATCAGTTTCAACCACGGCTGAATCTGGACGCCAGTTCTGACTTGCATACAGATTCAACTTAAGAAACCCAGGCGTCCCCAAGTCAGCTGCTGCTGAAACTGATCAGCGGCTGATTCCAGGACGCCTGGGGCAGAGCAGCTGGGGTGCTGCTGGGTTGCTCCAGTAGCGCGGCTCCTAGGCGCTACTGGAGCAACCCAGCAGCACCCCAGCTGCTC